TCTTTGTTCAAACAAGAAACCCCACACCTCTGCAGGTGTTTTGCGACCTTGTTTATGCACCCCTTCCCTATATTTTCCAAGAAACGGAAATTCTTGTGAATGAAATCCTTCCAAATGTTCCAACGTCCATTGTCAGGGTGTTCTCAGTTTGGACTTAACAACAAAGTGGATATAGCATTTCACAATTCTGTGCCTAGAGGTTGTACCTGGGCACAGAATGTTCCAGTCGAGTAATCCACCATTTTGCTGGTATCCTAAACAAATTCAAGTAAAAATTATTCCTACCTAAGACCATAAGTGTACCAAATAAAAAATACGGTTCTTAAGAGTCTTTAAAAGTCCTTAGATTTTTTGGACCTTAAAAGTCCTTAATTTTGGCCAAAATCAGTAGAAGGTCCTTAATTTTAATCATCTGAAATTTCTCTCTGTTTTTACGACTTCCATTTTGAGTGTGAATTAGCATTTTGGAGGAATATTTCTGGCAATTCACTGACGTATATGGTTATCTTTTGAATGGGTTCATGGGTTATAATTTGTTTCTATTTTTAATATAAAATGACGGGATACTCGAGTTTCTAAGTAAGAAGTGAAACATAAGCATTTCGAAATTCATTTATTGTAATAAAAAGCTCTTAAATAATTTTCGCTTTTGGGAATGTGAATTCTTTTATTAAACGGTTCTAAATTTGAGGACTTGTCAACATTTTGGCGATTTTCAGACCAGTTTCTATAGAAAATTTTTAATTCTGAAATCAGAATTTTTCGACGGTTTTTTTTTTTTTTTAACATCATAACTTTGATAAATAACATTAAAATAAAACATTTTTATTTTCTGCTGTCATATTATAAAGTTTTATTTTGGCAACTTATTATACAATATTTTGAATCTGAAAAATATACGAGGTATAATGCTATAAAGCACAATTTCCGAAACAACTCTTAGCAAAAGCAAAATTCTATGTAATTAATTAAAAATATCTTCTTTTTAATTTTTTCATAGTAAGCGTTTTTCCCATGTAATTGTCTCGGAATATTCAAAATTCTCAGAATATGCATCAGTTTCATCTATAAAAGTAATTTTACACTTTTCCCTACCCTCTTTTTTTGACATTGCAACTTAGAAAATTTAGAAGGATTTGAAAGCAAGATTTATAAACCCACGATTCTACTAGAAGATTAAAGAAATATGTGACAAAGTGAAAAATGCCTTCATGGTATCAACGCGTATTTTACAGAATGTTTGCGATGAATTTCTTACTTTTTGGAGAACATCTGGAAGAACAATGAAGACATGAGTAATATTTGAGTGTTTTATTCCTGATACTAGAATCTTTTTCTTAATATGTTTATCTTCCCTTTACATGAAATATGCAAGGAAAATATCAAAAATGCTTCTAATCGTATCACTTGGGCAGGCATTATAGAAAGGGATTTTTTTATTAATACAAAAATTGAAAACTTACAATTTCAAAGATCCATCTAATATGTTTTAATGCATCATACACAGAGCTATACATCATACACATTTTCCCATTTGATGCAATCTCTGTGGATCCTAAATTCGACTGCATAGTGCCTTTCTAAATTCTGCTTCCAATGCCTATCTAAATTCTAAAAATTCTGCCACATGAGCTCTGTAACCGGCCTTAACCATATATATATTTCATATTTCTTCTGAATTCCATATTACTAAAGAAATTAAATTATTCACTTTTTCTATACATTCTAAATGCATTTAGTGATTTTAGAAAAACAGAAATCCTTAATTAAATCCAAAAATTCTAAAATGAAAAAGAAACATACTGAAGAAACTGAATGCATTATAAATTATTCTTCAAAGATATGTGCAGTTATTATTATGTAAATTACGCAATTGTTTATGATTTCAGCCTTTACTATAATTTTCCATTTCTGTTTCCTCATATGATTACGAGTTACTGAGCCAGATTAAATTTAAATTAAATTGTATAATTTTTGACCACTAGTCCACGTATTTAGTTTGAATTTGACTGTTCTTGTTTAATTACGTCACCGTGAGATATAATTGATTTTGTTAGCATCAGAACATGCGTTTATGTTTGTTCTAAGTTCTTTTCAAATAAGACGCTTATTTAAACCGTTGTCCTATATTGTAGTTACTTTCAGACATAGTGATAATTTGCTTCACGTCTATCGGGGGTTTTGGACTATTTAACTTTTACCAGATCAGTTAAACCCTCATAGGTACATTGTGGAGAGGTTGACAAGATAAAGACGCAAAAACTAGCAAGAGTATTGGTTTGCACACAGAGACAAATCTCTAATTATTGTTAGAAAATATGCTTAAAGAGAAGGAAATCGGTATAAACTAGCCAAAATGTTTGGGAAGGCTTCAAATTAAATTGACGGATAAATTTTTTGTAGAGTGTTGTTGTTGCAAAACATAAATGTTTTGTAGCTTTTAATGTGTAATTATTCTAATATCGTTTAAGTATCAGTGTCATAAATAACATGTATTTTCAACTGTGAAATTTTATTAGATTTTGATTTCAATAGGGACAAAATTTAATAGTGGCCATGTAAATCCATGACTGAGGTTACCTATTTACCTAATTTAATTATTTATAACTAATTGCTTACCCTTAAAAATTATCTCTATATATTAAAGCGAGTTATTGCCTATCATTAATACTCACTGTGGTCACAAGATAAAACACAAAAATGTAGAAATTCAAGTAAAGCTTCTTCTTTGCATCTAGTGAGACTTAATACAAAACAGCTTCTCACGTCTGGTGGCTTATTGGAACCTGAAAGTATATTAACTGGGTTACAACCCCTGGAACTCTACACGAAGCTATGACACTTACTGTATCAGAGCCTGACTAACTTTTAACACTTACCAACCGTGCCTATATCATGCCTTTCAGGTTTGTTCTAATCAGCAGGTCTCTCTCTGTAGACAAGCAGCAGCGGTAATAACATTCAGTCTTTTATTATGAATAATGCTGATTATGAGACTTCTCATTTTAACCTATGCCGTTTGACATAAAATCTACCTGCTATTTACTAAACCTCTAGACAATCGGTTCTCAACCTTTTGACTAATGTGGACCATCTAAATAAAAATTGAAAACCTTTAGTACCACCAAAGTACTACTACCACCACCACTCGTGAACAAAGCTCAGATCGCATCAATTTACGAGTGTTAGAGAAAAAACTCGATCAGGATGTTGGGGTTTTAATTTTTGAAATAAATAGTTAAAAATACTTTGCTTCTTTGTGTACCACCTATTTTTTCTTGCCTACCACCGGTTGAGAACCTCTGCTTTAGACTGACCAAGTATGTGACAAAATAAGACAAAAAAAAAAATCAACATTAAGCTAACTATTAGTAAAATGTAAACGTCACTTATTTTCTTTCAAATATGTCCAACTTATTATAAATGCTACTTGTAAAATATTTAATGCTACTTGATAAACTGCATGAAGTTTATTTTATTCTCAAACTTATTAATAATTATGTTAATTTACGTTTAGTTATAATGCATACTACTTATGGATCTATTTTATTTTTAGGATGGTATTAGAAAAGTGAAATTCAGGCATAAAATAATATTTTTAATTGAATTTAATCAGTTCCCATCTGCTCATAGGTCCTTAATTTTTTTCATTAATGGTCCTTAAAAGTACTTAATTTCCGTGTGCAGAAATGTGTACGAAGCCTGTATAAATTAAAAAAAAAAAAAAAAGTGCAGTGTTAAAAGTAGAGGAGGGATTGGTTATCTTACCTTTAGATTATCTAAAAATAATATATTGATCTTATCTGATTATCTTACGAATTATAATCCTGATTATCTTACCAGAGTTGATTATCTTCGGCATTTACATTTGAGACGTTCACTGCACAAATCGATTAGCTCCATAAAAGTGGAGAAATGCGACGAAATAATGTACATTGTTTTTTTTTTTTTTTTTTTTTTTTTTTTTAAGTTCCCTTTATAATATATATTTAAAAAAATACTGTAGTATACAGATGTAGCTTTCCTTTAACGGTATATAAAATGAATAAGAAAGAATAGTCAAAAAGCAACCGCCAGAAATGTTACAATTTTTATATGATTGGAGAAGTCTATCAATTTGGCAAGTGACAAAAGTAACAAAGTTAAATCCAGTGTTGAATTTTTTATTACGGGAAAAGTTTATTATGCTATATTTATCTTACATATTTTTCGCAAAAATGAATATTATAAGTTCTGTTATAATATATTATTTGTGATTTGTTCATCAGGAATATAAATATCTTTTTCATCAGCAGTATGTGAGGTTTCGTAATTTCAGTTTGTTCTGAAGTTTTTATAGTACTCGCGTCTCTTTCTTCCCTTGTCACAGGTCTACCTTTAGGATATAATAACTCACTATAGCTATGTACCTAGAGGAAGGGATGCCTTCATGGGGTACTTTCTAAGGGAAACTGGCTCGTATACACGCTACACATGGGGAAACCACGAAGACGCCCGTACGTCTGGAATCGACCCCAGGTTTGAACTACCAATATTCAGGGATTTTACACTTCGGCCGCTGGTGGGGGCCAAACTAAACTAGGCTAACAGCGGCAGAGCTGTACAATCAGTAAACACCGGTAGTTTGACTCGTCCCATTGATTTTCCGTATGTATAACGTAAATCCGTTCATATCTTCAATAATGAAGCATTTTACTTGCTGAATTAAAAAATGCATCAAACAATGCTTTTATAGGGTCATTCTGAGTGTTTTATGCCTTGAATTTTAAAAATAAATTTTGGATTTGTTTATAATATGTTATCTTGCTTAATATGAATTTAAATAAAAAATACTGCAGTTCTTTCTTAAAGTTTTTAAATTATTATTTTTTCGGACTTAATATATGATTTTTAAAGGCATTTAAAGACAAAACAAAACAAAAAATTCTACTTCTAATCTTATATTTTTAAAAATCTCAAATTGAAAATAAAACATGTTTTGTGTATTTTTAATACTGTAGGAGGATTTGGAGTTATTTGAAAAGTGGAGTCTCCTTGGCGAGAGAGGAAGTCAACTTGAAATCGGGGTGAAGTTCCAAAAAGACTTTAAATACTTTTTTAATAACATTTTAAAATCTTAATCTTTAATCAAATATAAAATCTTAATATTAATCTTTAAATATTTCTTCTTTCTTTTAATATATATGTTGAGTTCTTAATCATACCTTTAAAAGCATTAATTTTCAAAGTTTATGTATTAAAATGTTTAACGGTGTTGCATAGTTGAATGTTCCAATCATATTCTTTATTTGTAGTATAAAACCCCTTGCATCGACCTGCGGGAAAGAATTTGTGAAGATCGTGATAGATTTTTAAATTAAAATATGTATGAGAATAAAGTGTGTAAAAGGTCGGTGCTAGGCATCTGGCTTCCCTGTGTTGCTGTACCGGGTGCACCGACTCTGGGGTACGACACTGACTATGTCTTTCTTATTCAACAAAGGTTTAGTAAAAACACTGTTCAGTAGTAGAAATAAAATGAAAATTTCACTGTATTTATGACACCTACTAAGCAGATACTTATACTTACCAGTACAAAAACGTAGTTCTTTTTAAATTCGTGCTTTATAAACTAAATCCTAAGAATATAAATAAAAAGCTGACCACATACCTCCCCCCGCCCGGGCCCCGGAAAAAAACTTCTCTGGTTGAGAACATCTCTCTAGATGTGAGAGACATTGGTTTATCGAAGTAAATTTGTAGAAATTAAATTGTAGATTTAATACAAATAAAGGGCAAACTGAAATTTAAAATTAACCATTTAAATCACAAATAAAAATTCAGAAAGTAGTGGCCCCCGTAAGTGTTTTTTTATATATATATATATATATTAATTCGACTTCTTTTAACCTCTTTCTTTAACTCAAAGCTGTAGCGAATATATTCTGGTGTGTTCATATTTACGAGGAATCGTTAAGTAAATACTTCAAGATAAATACTATGCTATAAATGTAATATTTACTCCTGTGCACAGGAATTATTGATTTCGAGTTAATACGGTGGAATGCAGTCGTTTGTGGAGTTAAATTGTAGGCTGGCAAACTCGGAAAAATAAAATTCTGTTATCAGTAATCGCTCTATTGGAACTTGTTGCCATGGTAGTAAGGGAGTCAGAACCTAGCCTTGGGCCAGGGTTGGTGGCTGGTGGTAAAGCAAAGGGGTTAAGTAGAAGAATCTGAAATCTGCCCCCCCTTCCCCGCTGTGCTGTCCGCCAAATGTGGTCCGGAAGTGGACAAACTTGTGCTGTCATTGATGCGGAATGTTTAAGCAAAGAATACTAACAGGAGAAAACGGCAACTCTCGTAGACATTAATGTAGATTTTAAATGTAGTCTACTACATTTAAAATAGACTACTCAAGCTAGATGAGATAATTAACGGCGCGTATTCCAAAATTCTGCTAGCAAGACGCTAGAGTACTAATTAAGCAAGAGCAAGTAACAACAAAAGGCAGTTGTCTGCTTTTATCTAAATATACCAAAAAAAAAAAAAAAACTCATTTGTATTAAGATGAGGACTACATTAGTTAACATAAAATATCATTTTTCAGCTATTAAATGCATTTATAGCGTTATTTATGTAGAACTTTAAAAACGGAATTTTTAGTTTCGAAGAATTTTCTCCGCATTATGTTGATAAATCTCATAATTTGACGTAATGGAAAATTATTCGAATTATGAAACTTTTACTGTTTTAGAACTGTCTCTTCATCGACTCTCAGAGAAAATATATTTTGAAAGAATTTTCCATTAATTAAAAATGCAAAATTCAAACAAGATTAGTGGCAGTGTTGTTGCTATTGCTCACTTGTTTGACCTATAGTCTCAGCTAAAGCTCACGAAACTATACATTTGCAAACATTCATGTCTTCTTCGGGATTCGAGCACGGCTATACCGGTTTGTGAAACTAATATAATTTAATATAAGTCGTTGTAACATTGTACATTACTTATATAGTAGAAAATTTTAACTTACTTTAGGCTATTATAATTTGAAGTAATATGTAAGTACTGTTATAATCTTATGAGAAAATATTTTATATTTAGTTACAAATTTTCAATCTTTTCGAATGCCACCTTAGCGTAACATTTCTCTGAAGATTCGATCAGGTTTGGTTATTTGGATATGGTAAAGGACACATACATATTCATATTACACATACTCGTTCAACATGGTGAAAAACGATAGAAACCAACCATGTAACATGGTATCGAATTCAGGTCTCCCAGTGTTTAGGGTTCTGGACCATTCGGCCATTGATGGGGTCATAAAGTTGGGTAAAACAGTTATCTGCCAATTAATTAGACGATAGAGGGCACAACAATCTACGGTTAATCCATAATTAAAAAATATAGGAAAGAAGAAAAATTACTAGAAAAATAGTTTCGATACATCAAAGTGTCGGGACCACATCAGCATATTGTTGGTCCGGCCATTTGGTCATTTTATCCTGGTTATTTAATAAAATTTTGAAAGTGCCGGTTACATATAATTAATATCAGCTTAATTCTACAAGGGTTTACAGCAATTTAGAACAGATGTTATTCTCACACTTGTAGAGGAATTAGGAATTATTTTTATACTGGAGACGTGAAAAATGTGCAATTGCCATTGCCGGGACTCGAACCTGGACCTCTCGAATACGCGGCGAGTGTGCTACCGACGAGACGAGGGAGAAAATACGTTATACACTGATATAGGAAAAGGGGTTTAGTGGAGAAAAATCTTTTATTTAAATTGAAATTGTTTTTGAAAAAATAATGAAACTTGCAAATAATACAATAAGCGAGGCTCAACTTTTTGTGAATGAAGTATTGAATCCTGTGCGCGGGAATTATTCAGTTAATTCGGTGGAATGCAGTGGTTTATGGAGTTAAATTGTAGAATCACAAACTCAGAAAAATAAAATTCTGTTTCCAGTAATTTTTCGTTTAGTTCAGATATCGCCGGCGATGTATTCGGCACAGTAACCCATAGGCCGATGACGTAGAGTAGTCTGGCGAAGGGGCAGAAAGGTCAAAGATGAGAAGAGGGGGTGACCCTGCATCACAAAGGCTCTAAGAGCCAATCAAGATAGAAGGCGAACAATGGAGATGCAAGATAGTGAATCTAACAGTTGACCTAGTGTGCTGTGAGGGTACAGTGAGAATTTGAAGTGAAAATTCAAACTTGAAAATTAATGCGTAAACATAAGTAAAAATACAAAATAAGAAAACATATAAATACATAAGATACTTGAGAATACATAAAAACTAAGTAACTTATTTTACTACTAACATTTACAATGTACAATCAAATAATAAGTAACATTTGCAATGTACAGTCAATATTTTCATCAATGTATGTATTTTTTTCACATTGTGATAAACAATAGTACCTAGAGCCATCAAAATTTAAATACCGTAATCCTCCGCAGAATATGGGCATGTGGAAGCCCTAATTTGAAATTTTTTTTATTGTCGATTTCATATTTTGTAATGAACGAATTTTTGATTTAAAAACTAAGCGATTTCAAAGCGAGCAATGGCAACACCGTACGGGCGGGGGAAAAATTTTCTTCAGCGCGCGAGACTGTGTATCGGAAGTTCTAAAGATATGATCATTTAAAAATTATTTTGCGATATTGCTGTTGAACTGAATTTTATGCTTTGATTACATAGAACATGATATTTAATAAATAAAGGTAACACACAAAACGTTAAAAAAACGCCCCTGTTGACGTAATTTAAAATCTCAAAACTTTCATATTTATTTATTAATTATTATTTTGGGTATTAATTTTAGTTACTTTCTTACCAGATAAGTTCAAAATTCATCCAGTATTTGGTATTTTTAGATCGCCTGATATTAAACTCAGGCATTGAGTAGATAGATTCAAGTTTGAAACGGAAATGATAGCGGCGGTTTCTGTATCTCAAGATACGAATTTTTCCCTATACTATCAGAATTTCAAGTAACGTTCTATTTTTATTGTTAAATGAATACTCCAATGTATATTAACTACAAATTCGTTTAATTATATCAATTTTTTAACGTGCGTGAAATATGGTGAAGAAAAAAATTCAGAGTAATTAATGTATCTGTAGATTTGGAAAGGTCAAAAACCTGACCTTGACTTACTTTCCTTTTCCCGACTTCCTATCTGTAAGCGATAAGGGGTTTTAGCTCATTCAAGTTTTTGAGGGGATGACCTTGGATGCCCGAAGGTAGTTTCCGGGCTTCGAAATTCCTCTTATCTCTATGTGGTACCTTTACCAATTCTAAAGTTAAGAAGAAAACGCGTCTTTGCGAAAAAAATTGCATTGAGATTGAAGGGATTTAATGAAGATAACTACAATAATGGCGTCCTATCCGCGGGAATAGCAAATGCTACATAAAATAAGATATTCATATAACATAAATCACGATTAATTTACAAATTATGCAGAGCCGGGTTTAGACTTGATAAGGTCCTAAGCTATTTGAGATATTGGGGGCCCTTGATAAGTCGGTTGTACTACATTTTAATTTTTTTTAGGGGGGGGGCCAGCTATAGCTTGTGTAGCTTATAAATCCTTCGCTGAAATTATGCATCATTAATAAAGTATTTTGCCCATTATAGGACATCATAAAGGGAACACAAACTTTATGTCAGGAGCTGCAGCTATAGATATTTATATCATTTGAAAGCAGTGAAACAGTTTTTGAATAGGGAAAATTATTTCATGCTATTTAACGTAATATTACATTTTATAATTTATATGAAGTACATACATATGTATACATATAAATAATTCTCGTTGCTGTTTTGCCATGTTCAGGAAAGTGTTTCTAAAATTCTCAAATTTTAAACTTCTGTATGGTTTACCGAAAATTCATTTTTCCTGGTTTCGAATTTTTTTTCTAATTATAATTTTATAATAGGTTATAAAATAATAATTATTTTATAATATGTGTAAATAGAAAAACACAGTAGACCGCCCTACTTTCAGTGCTACTGTGTGAAATAATTTGTGTGATATAATTTTGGGGGGTAGTATTTTTTGTGT